TATCAGGCGCACCTTAGTCTCCAGAGAGACACTGTTGCTCCTGAGTACTCTTTGAGTCAGATAATAATCATAGGTTAGATATTTAGTGAGTAAATCTCATGTTGATCTGGTTTTGGTATTTAAAGTGTTAAAATACAATTTCAGGCAAGGATCTTTTTTTCATTCTGTCTGCCTTACCAACACTGAACATTCCTGACAAATACAGAAAATGAAAGAATATTCTTCAAAGTCTAGGCATTTTTAAACATCTAACTCTTATATATAAGGAAGTCTAGTAGCACTGTGATTAAGGCATTCACTGCTAATAGGTTGGTATTTTAAACCGTCCAGGTGCTCCATGGGACAAAGTTAAGACAATCTTCTTCAAAAATATTTAGAACCATGGAAATCCTATGAAGAATTCTACTCTACCCTATAAGGTTACCGTTAATCAGGATTTATTTGATGATAGCTCAAATGGAATCTCTTCAATAAATAGATATTTTCTGTTTTCTTCATGCTCTGAAGGTCATTATTTTATTATTTAATCAGATTCTTGTACACCCTTATAACCTTCCCTTTTGTTATGTCCTGGGACACAAAAAGTCCCCTGATAAACTGTGTCTCATCTCATCTTAAGGGCCTTTCCGTTTGATAGCTTCCTAATTTAATCAGGATGGCTTATCTCTGATATTTGGAAAGCATAACCTTGAGAAGAACAGGAATGCCAAAGCTCTTAATTACACTTACATGAAATCTATACCTGTAGCTGTTAGCTGTTGTCCAAACAAAGCAAGGGAATTCTGTACTGTTTAAAACTGAGAAAGTTGTGTCATGGTTACATCCTCTTCTCCGTATCTATTCAGTCTATATGCTGAGCAGATCATTCGAGAAGCTAGACTTTATGAAGAAGAATGTGGCTCATCAAAAAACTGTTACGTAGATGACAAATCCTTGTTTGCCAAAACTGAGGAGGACCTTAAGTGCATGCTGCAGAGGGTCAAGGACTACAGTCTTCATATGGATCATATTACAACATTAAGAAAACAGAAATCCTAACTTCTGGACCAATAGTCAATATCACGGCAGATAGAGAAAGAATTGAATCATCAGTGATTTCATTTTGCTTGAGTCCACTCTTGGTGCTGGCAACCAGAAGATCAGGAAATGTATATCCTTGAGAAAGTCTTCTATCAAGTATCTCTCCAAAGTCCTTAAGAGTAATGATGTCAGTTTAAAGACTGAGGTGTGCACAATTAAAACAACAGTACTTCCAGTCACCTCCTATGTATCTGAGAGCTGGAGAATGAATAAGAATAGATAGACTAGACAATGGAGAACAAGAGATTAATTTCAGTTGTGGTGTTGGAAATGAAAGTTTAATATCCCACAGACTACCAAAAGGATAAACTTGTGACTTGGAGAAAGTACAAGAATATTCCTTGGAGACAAAGATAGAGAAGCTATGTCTCACATATTTTGGACATGCTAGGAGAGGAACATCATGCTTGGAAAGGTAGAAAATCAACAAAAGGTGTGAAGACCTTCAACAAAATTAATTGAAACAGTGTCTGCAGCAATGGACTAAAAGGTGTTGAGGAGATAAAGATAGCACAGGATAGGACAGAGTTTGGATCTGTTGTTCATAGGGTCATTTTGAGTCATTCTTGACTCAATGACACTTAATAACAAGTGCTTGTATCTGAAATCTCAAGAGCCAGATTCTATTTGTTGGCTCAAGTTCAGAGAACTCTTATCTATAGAGCTCTCAGAAGGAAAATAATTTCAAAGGAATAGAGACTTTCCTATCTCTGGTCAAGAAGTGGCATATTGTCAGGGCCCTGCACCTCCAGGATCACCCTAGCAAATATTACATAGTAGTGACTTAGCAGGAAGGTGAGCTGGAATAAGCAGAAGGATAGTCTTAGTTTGAGGATTAAGGTACATCTAAATCAAGCCATGACTGATTGACTAGCTACGCATCCGAGACCTGGACAATGAATAAGGATAACAGAAAAAGAATCGATGCCTTTGAGCTGTGGTGCTGGAGAAGAGCACTGAACATTCCATGGACAGCCATGAAAATGGATAGATATGTCTTAGAGAGGGTGAAGGTGGAGTGCTCTTTGGAGGCAAGAATGATGAGGCTTTACCAAACATACTTTGGACATATTGCTAGGAGGTGCTTGCTATTCCTTGGAGAAGGACAAGATGTTGGCAAGGGTAGAGGATCAGTGAACGAGAGGAAGACCTTCAATCAGGTGGATTGACAAGGTAACTGCTGTAATGGGCTCTTGTCTGTCAGGAAGTGAAGATTGGGCAGGACAGGACTGGGTTCAAATCTTTTGTTCAAAGGGTCACTATGAGTCGTATTCAACTCGATGATACCTAACAACAACAGCCATATTTGACCTTGCAAAAGCCGATTCCTGTACAAATCCATAGGGTTTCATTAGTTGGATTTTCAGAAGCAGCTCACCTGGCCTTTCTTCTTAGTCTATGTTACTCTAGAAGCTCCACTAAAAGATGTTCAGCATCACAGCAAAACACAAACTTCCACTGAAGACAGATAATAGCTGAACGCATTTCCCACATGAAAAATAAGAAGCCTATCGATGAATTCCCACTGCCATTAATATATACCCTATAGAAATATCATTAAATCCATCTTGTGTCAACCCATCTTGATGAAGGTCTGCAACTGTCACAATGGGCTCCAGCATATCAGGATAGGGCAAGGTTCCAATCTGTATGTTCATAGAGACATTACTAGTCCTTTTCAAGTCAATGACACCTAATTAAAAAAAAACTTGATCAAATAAATATACCAGAGTCTCTTCTGAAAACCTTCTAATTTTTGTTGTTATGTGCTGTCAAGTCACCTGCGACTCATAGCAACACTATGTACAAGAGCTCTGAACCCAGCTCTATCTTGAGCCAACCTTACTGTCTCTGGCACACCTACCCCCACTACTGCAGTCACTGAGTCAATCCATCTCATCAAGTGTCTTCCTCTCTTGCACTGTCCCTCCACCATCCCAAGCATGATGTCCCTCCTCAAGAACTGGTCCCTACTTGCAACATGCCCAAATCCTTGCCTCCAAGGAGCAGCTTGGTTTCACTCTCTCTAGGACAAACCTGTTTGTTCTCCTAGCAGCCCATACTCAATACTCTTTATCGAATATTCAATATTCAGTACTCCTCTCCAGTGCCACAGCTCAAAAGCATCAATTCTCCTTCTATCATCTCTAGTCATTGTCTAGCTTTCTGATGCATAGCACATAATTGTGAAGACTCTGACCTGGATCAGGCACACTTTAATCTCCAGACTGACATTGTTGCTCTTTAGAATTTTAGAGAGGTCCCTGACAGCTGGCTTTCCCAATGCAGTTTGTCTCTTGATTTCCTGGCTGCTGCTACCATGAGTGTTGATTGTAAAGCCCAGCAAACTAATGCACTATTAATAATCTCAATCTCTTCACCATATATCATAATTGCTATCAATTGGCCCACTGGTGAGAATCTTGGGGTTTTTTTATATTGAACTTCAATCCATATTGAAGGCTGCAATCCTTGACCTTATGCAGCAAGTGCTTCGGGTCCTTCTCAGTTTCGTCAAGCAGAGTTGTATTATTTGCATAACACAGGTTGTGGATGAGTCTTCCTCTAATTCTGATGCCACATTTCTCCTCTTAGAGCCAGCCTCCAGGATGATCTTTTCTGCAGATTGATTGAAAAGGTATGGAGACAGGACACATCCATGGCGAACACCCTTCTCGATTTTAAAACCTGGTGTTTCTAATTATAATATTAATATTAGTGGCAGTAATATACAGATGAGTGCCCCTTATAATTTGGATGTCTCCTACCCAAAGAATTTGAAAGGAGCAGGTTTTTGTCATTCTATTTTATTCTTACCATCTCTATTCCTTCTCATATTCGTGTAGGTTCAGCCACAAGTACAATTTATCCCACAGGCTTGGATTTCTCTGACTACATCACACGTCCAGAAGACCACACCAGCAGCACCCTCCACTTTGACAAGGGTGATACTGAGAAGACCTGCCGGATTATGATCATTGATGACTCGCTTTATGAAGAGGAGGAGTCCTTCAGTGTCTCACTGAGCCTGCCAAGAGGAGGACGACTTGGAACCAAATTTCCCATTGCCAAAGTGATTATCCTGGCAGATCATAAGGATGGTAAGTCCATTTTCTGCTTCAGACTCCTGTCAATAGTTATATTGTCACAATTTTGCATAGCAGATTTAAAGCAAATCCAGCTTATATATTTTTTAGTCTTTTCATTATTTTTATTTTAACAAAAGTTTACAGAAAAGTTAGATTTTCTTTCATCCATTCATTGATGTCCATTCCTACTTCTCTGCCCCCCCTCCCAATTCACTTTGTAATGTACGTCTTGTTCAAGATTGTTATCATACATATAACGCCTAATCTACATTCTTTTCAGACAGTTCTTCCCCTCATCTCTTCCAGTCCAGTATTCATTATCTGTCCACCCTTTTGCTGCTCTCCTCCCACACCTAAGTCAATCCTGTTTTACAAACAGCAGTCTTCTGCATTATTTGTCCTTTTGTAACTGAGATATTTCACTCAATAAAATATCTTTCAGATTTATCCATGTTGTGTAGTGTTTTACAAATGTGTCTTTTATTGCTGCATAATATCCCATTGTATGAATGTACCAAAGTTTTTCTGTCCATTCACTGCTTGACAGACATTAGGACTATTTCCATCATTTCGCTATTATGAATAATGCAGCAATAAACATGGGTGTGCATACATTTGTTTGAGTCACAACTCTCCTTTCTTGAGGGTATATTCCCAATACTGGGATAGGTGTGTCAAATGGTATTTCTATTTCCAGCTTCTTGAGAAAACACTAGACTACCTTTCATAGTGGATGTACCATTTTACATCCCCACCAGCAGTAGATGAGTGCTCTGATCTCTGTACATATTTGCCAGCATTTGTTGTTTGCTGCCCTATTGAACTTTGCTACTTATTGTTACTGGGTTGAGACAGGAAATCTCCTCCTATGGAATTTACAGCCTCAGAAAACCTGTTGAGTTGGATCCAAATATTTCTACTGCTCCACGGCACAATGTATTCTCTGCTGGAGGATCAGATGTGAGTCAGTTCTGACTACAGCACACAGCAACAATATTGTTAAATGGCTGGGTCAGATTTAAAAAAAAAATAAGGAAAAGAGAAAGATGTGGACCTTCCAAGCTAAAGAGACAAAACGTGGGTAGCATTGTCACTGTGAACCAAGAAAGAAGGAGAATTAGTTTTAAAATGTGAAAGACATAAGTGGTTCAGTTGCATAATTGCAGAAAACCAGTTAAAAGAAATAGTATCATTATACTTTACAGGATTAGTATGTTATGATGCAATTGATTCAGTCTTTAAAAGTCATAGACTAGCAAACTCTTAATTTCAGTTCTTATTTTTAAAGTTGAAGTAGAAGGAAGAAAATATTTTTAAATCTCTCCCTAACTTCTCAAGAATAATAATTTTGACCTTTAGAAATAGAATGAGAGCCTTCCCAGAATGATCACCCTTTCTTCTTAGTGAAAGAAGTGGTGGCCTAGTGGTAAGAAACTGCACTGCAATCCCCAAAGCACACAATCCAAATCCACCAGCTGCTTCACAGGAGAAGGATGGGAAATCTCCTCCTGTGAGATTGACTGCCTCTGAAAACTCACTGGAGGGTCAGCTATCTGTCATTTCCGACTGGACAGTACACAACACCACCAATAAGTGGTTCTTACACAAAGTTGTTGAATAGGTGTAATATTTTCCAGGCTTCAATATATTACTAACTCAGCTGTACTTGTTACGATTGTAGTTGTTATGTATCCAAGTCAACTATGACTCATAGGGACCCTATGAACAAAGGCTCTGAACCTTACCCTGAGCTGAGCCAGTCTCACCATCTCCAACACATCTGACCCCAATGCCACACTGTTGTCAATCCATCCCATTCAGGGTCTTCCTCTCTTGCACTAACTTTCTATCCTTCCAAACATGATGTCCTTCTCCAAGAATTGACCCATCTTTACAATAGTACAAAGTATACGTGACAAAGTTTTAAAATCCTTGCCTCCACGGAGCAACCCCAAGGAGCAACCTGGTTTCACCATCTCCAGAACAGACCTGTTTGTTCTTTTGCCGGTCCATGGGGTATGTTCTACAATCTTCTCCGCACCAACTGATGACTCAAAGTCATCAATTCTTCTTCTGCAGTCTTTATTCATTGTACAGTTCTCAGGTGCATAGCAGGCAACTGAGAATGTCATGTCTTAGATCAGGCACACTTTAATATTTAGACTGACATCTCTTTAGCGTTCTGTAGAGATCTTTGACAGCAGATTTTTCCATTGCAACTCATCTCTTGATTTCCTGGCTGCTGGTACCCATGGTGTTGATTTTGGATCTGAGCAAGATGAAATAATTAACAACTCTAATCTTTTCTCCATTGATCATGATGCTATCTATTGACCTGGTGGTGAAGATTTTTGTTTTGTTGTTTGCCAAGGAATAGCCTCTCTTAACAATATGCCCAAAGGATGTGAGACAAAGCTTTGTCATCTTTGCCTCCAAGAAGCATTCTGGTTGCACTTTCTCAAGATATTTTTGTTTGTTCTTTTGGTAGTTCATGAGATAGATATTCAATACTCCCATACCATAACTGAAAGGCATCAATTCTGCATTCCTTATTCATTGCATAGCAAGTGACTGAAAAAAACCACCTTAGTCTTTACTGTTCCTCAATAATTTGGGAAAGTTCCTGACTACAGACTCTGTCAATGCAATACATCTCCTGACTACTGGTACCAAGGGTGTTGATTATTGGTCCATGTGAGATGAAATCATTGATCATTTCAGTCTTTTCATCATCTGTCATGTTGCTATTGATTCAGGGCTGAGAATTTGTTTTCTTGATGCAGTTCTTAGTTACAGAATAAGATATCAGCCACAGATAGTCTATAACCATTGCATCTGTGTGTCAATTTGACGTTTCCAGTTGTTAGCATGTATAATGCATTGGAATGTGCCATCGAGGTGCCTGAGACTCATAGCGACCCTATGTACAACAACCCTAAACCCTGCTCTATCCTGTGCCAATCCTATTGTCTCTGACATACCTGTCCCCATTACCCCAGTGACTGAAGCAATCTATTTCATTGAGGGGCTTCCTCTCTTGCACTGTCCCTACACCATCCCAAGCATGACATCCCTCTCCAAGGACTTGTCCCTCTTTGCAACATGTCCAAAGTATGTCAGATAAAGCTTCAGAGATCTGGCCTCCAAGGAGTAACCTGGTCTCATCCTCTCTAGGATAAACCTATTTGTTCTCCTATCAGTCCACGGTATATTCAACACTATTCTACAGCACCACAGCTCAATGACATCAATTCTCTTTCTCTCATCCCTAGTCACTATCCAGCTTTCTGATGCATAGCGAGTGATGGACTATATTGAACGTACCTTGGTCTCCAGACTGACATCGCGGCTCTTTAGAACTTTGGAAAGGTCTCTGACAGCACACTTTCCCAGTACAAAGGATTGGATGACATTCCAAAGAACTACATATAAAATGATATAACACGGAAACTGCGTACTGAACCCTCCCCCCATGAACTGATAAACCAAATAGCTCTTAAAGGCTAAAGGGTAGGATGTAATAGGCCTTATCCCATCACAGTTCTGATCCCATCTAAGAAAATATTCCACAGGTTATGTTGTCTTTAATCTCACAAATAAAAAAAAAGGGGAAGAACATTGGCCAAGAGAAGGGACCTCAGTAGCACTGAGAAAAACATTCACCAATTGTGAGGCGCGTTCTTTTGGACTCAGGTCCTCCACTAGGAGACTTCTTGACAGTTCTTGAGAACTTAAAGCTAAAACACATGGAGATCTCCAAGGCACATCAGGCTTACAGATGTTAAAGGTACAAGGGCTTTCCTCCAGATTGCCAGAGAGAAGCCCTTCCCCTAAAATTGTCACCCTAATTGGAACTTCTAGACTCCCAACTGGTGGATTTGAACCACAAGCCTTCAAATTGACAGCACAGCTTCTTACCACTAGACCACCAGAGCTCCCTATCAGTAAATAAGTAGATAATGTGACAACTATCTAGGCTCACACAAAGCCAGAGGGGACAGTAGGCCTCAGAAGTGAAAAATGTTCAGTCTGTCCTTTCTTACCTCTCTAGAGCCTGCCCTGCACTTCGGGAATGCTGAGTATCATGTGGACGAAAATGCTGATTACTTGGAGGTTTGTGTCTGGAGGACCGGACCTGATCTTTCCCAAGCAGCTTCTGTCACCGTGCGATCCAAGAGTGCTGAACCAGACTCAGCAAAAGGTGAGAGAGCCATTTTAAAACATAATAATGTTAAAATTTGGAATATGTATACTAGTACAGAATAACATTGTTGTTGTTAAGTGTCATTGAGTCGTAGATGACTCATAGCAACCCTATGAATGAAAGACTTGAACATTTATATATATATCTCTTTATTGTGATTTTAATGAAAGTTTACAGAAAACTTAGATTTCCATTTATTCATTGTTGCACATTTCCTTCCCCGCCCCCAGTTTACTTTTCTCTTTAAAAAAAAAAAATTCATTCATTGTTGCACAATTTCCTCCCTCTCCCTGCCCCAGTCCATTTTTTGCCCCTTATTCTAGATTACTGTCATGCAAATAATGCCTAATCATATATTCCAAGACTTGAACATTTGTGTAACTTTCATCATTTCTCTAAGTTCATAAAGTTTCTGGAGGCAAGCTATTTTTGAAATGGATGTGACTTCTGCTTCCAAGCTTGTTTTAATCAGGAGCTCCACCCCAAAAACTGTCCACTATGGGTAACCATTATCACATTTGACACACCAGTGTCACAGTGTTCAGCATCACAACAACCATGAGTTACCTCTGTACAGCAAATGGACAGACCAGTACTATACCACCTAGAAGAATGTTTGACAAAAGCAATTAAAACCAGGCCTGAAGGTTGCCAATTAAAATCATGCACGTTTGGCTTGGTAGCATAACTTTCTATCCACCAGGTCAACATAGCTCTCACTATGACAACAATTCTATGAACAACAGATCTAATGCTTGCCCTATCTCCTATGCCGTCCCCACAATCCGAGACCACCAACAGATCTAACCTAGACTCTGCTGATGTTCTCTGATCTGAGGTTTCTTTCCTGATTTTATCAACGATTATGGTTCACATCTATTATTCATAGAGTCACTATGAGATAAACTTGACTTAACAGCACCCAACAACATATAGTAACATTTGCTTATGAAATAAATATATTTGAAAAGCTGACTTTGCGACTTAATCCTTCCCCATTTGTTTGTTGTAGATCTAAATTCATTTCCCACAGGTAAGAATATATGTAGATATTGTAACTTGCTCATAAACCATATCTCAGAGCAGAGTACCTATAATAGCTTCCCCCGATGAGCAAAGTCCAATTCCGGGAAAATTAGGTCACATACCAGACCTTCGCAATTCCTGGTCTTATGATGGGTTAAACATTGTTGATTAACTAAAAGGCTGGTAATTCAAGTCCACCGACCACCCCACAGGAGAAAGATGAGGCTGTTGCTCCCATGAAGCTTTATCACTTCAGAGACTCAATGAAGGAGTTTTGTTCTGTTATGTTGGGTCACTGTCACTATGGATGTTGTTGTTGTTGTTGTTATGTGCCATCAAGTTGCTTGTGACTCATAGCAACCCTATGTACAAGAGCTCTATACACTCTTCTGTCCTGTGCCAACCTAGCCATCTCAAACGCACTTATCCCCACCTCTCCAGTCACAGAATCGATCCATCTCATCAAAGGTCTTCCTCTCCTTCGCCGCCGCTCCACTCTCCCAAACATGATGTCCCTCTCCAAGGACCAGTCCCTCCTTGCAACAT